ATCCATCCATCCATCCATCCATCCATATATCCATTCTTCCATGTTAATGTCCATCCATCTATCCATTCATCCATCCATCCATCCATCCATTCATCTCTCCATCCATTTCTCACTTGTAATCATTTTTCCACCACTTATACATCACTATAATAGGTGCCTTGAGAGGTACCGAAACACATTCTTTTTTTTTTTTTTAAGATTTTATTTTTTTATTTATTTGACAGAGATCACAAGTAGGCAGAGAGGCAGGCAGAGAGAGAGGGGGAGGGAAGCAGGCTCCCCACCAAGCAGAGAGCCCAATGCGGGGCTCGATCCTAGGACCCTGGGATCATGACTTGAGCTGAAGGCAGAGGCTTTAACCCACCGAGCCACCCAGGCGTCCCAACAAAACACATTCTTATTAAAATTCCAGAAAGGGATTCTTGATAGGGAAATAAGACCATTGTATGACAAACACATGGAAAAAATCAACCACATTACCAAGATGAAATTACCAAGAAGAGCTCTCCGTAGATTCTAAAGCAAGGAAATGATTAGCACTGGGTGACTATAGTCAAGGAAAACTTCTTGGAAGTTGCTCACTCAACCAAGTCTGAAGAAGAGTTAGTGGAAAGTGTGGATAGCTGGTGGGGTAGTGAGATTTGGTAATTCTCACGCTGTCTGAGTCAGCCTCAAAGTGATGTAGAATGTCCTGCTCAGAGTACCTATTATTACTGTTATTGCTGTTATTATTATCATTAATTGTTATTATTAGAAATTGGAAAAAAAGGGAGGATGACGAGGAAGAGAAGAAAGTGGGAAAGAGGGGCACCTGAGTGGCTCAGTGGGTTAAGCCTCTACCTTCGGCTCCGGTCATGATCTGAGGGTCCTGGGATCGAGCCCCGCATCGGGCTCTCTGCTCTGTGGGGAGCTTGCTCCCCCCCGCCCTCTCTGCCTGCCTCTCTGCCTACTTGTGATCTCTGTCTGTCAAATAAAAAAAAAGAAAAAGAAAGTGGGAAAGAATCCAGGTGGGAAGAAGCATGTAGATTACCCCCGCCATGGGAAACTCAATTTTTCAGTATTTATTTCAAAATTTGGAAATATTTCATTTGTATTAAAAATATATACGTAAAGTATAAAAATAACATAATGTGCACGTCCACCATTCAGTTTAAGGGAAAACGTTATAAAGGATCATTTTTAGTGTTTTTTGAATAACTTACTCTGCTGATTACATGTCCTTTATGAAATACCCTCAAGAGGGAAGAAGGTTAACTATAATAATTTCGAAGTCCGTTATCCAGCGATAACAGTGATTCTCTATTTGGGGGCATGCTTTGTGGTCTGGAATCTCTGAATTCCTGATGAGTTCCGCTGTGTGACCCCAGACACACACCTCTTGCAGATGCATCCATTGAAACGGGTTGCCTCAATCAGATTGATAGATGGTGGGACTGCATTCTGCCTTATCATTCCACAATCTGTTTACTTCCACCCTTAAACTGTGCAATAGGTCACGATGAGCTGGGCTTAAAAATATATATATATTTTGTTGTCCTAAGAACACTTAAGATGAGACTGCTCTCGTGGCCAATTTTAAGTGTGCAAGGCAATATTACTCATCATAAGGTCCATGTAGTACAGCGGATTTCTAGAATGTACTCATTTTGTGTCGTCGTGTCTACGCCCAGGGAATGGGGCATTTGATTCAGTAATAGTATTTTAAGTTTTTACTATTCGTATGGGGCCAATGCAGATGATAAATAGAGGAGACAGCCCTTAATGATGGAGTCACAAACCTACAAGAAGGACGAGCCATGAAATAGGAAACCAAGTTGGAAGCAGTAAGATGGTGTCAGTGGGAATCAGGGAGGACCCCAGAGGAAAGAGAAGTGAGCAGGATGTGGGGATGTCAGGCCGCCTGGTGGTGGACACAGGAATCTTCAGAGCAGGCTGGGATCATGGGCTCCTGGTTGTTCTTTTGCTTTCAGACGTCAAACCTTCCAATGTGCTGATCAACGCTCTTGGCCAAGTAAAGATGTGCGATTTTGGAATCAGTGGCTACCTTGTAGACTCTGTCGCCAAAACTATTGACGCAGGATGTAAACCATACATGGCCGTAAGTACGGCAGCGGGGGGAGGCATCTGGGAACGCAGCTGCCCGCAAACCCCACCAGGAAATAGGAAATGGATGGCCACAGAGGGAGGATGGAAATGTGCTTATGGTGCAATAAATATCCTGCATCTTATTTTTTTTCTTAAGTCTTTTCTGTCTGAAATCCTTAGTCATTGGCTTCAAACATACTATTTTTTTGAAATTTGAGTAAAAGAGGTCTATTACTTGAAAAAAAAAAATGTAAGTAATAGATACAGCCCACACAAATTTTTCACCTTGTGTCACAGGGGAGTGTTATCCTGCTTGTTGGGGACAGAAGAATGAACAGAATTTAAATGACCCAAATAAGTCAGTTAGGTTAGTCCTAAAGGATGCTCGTGGTTGGGAAGATTTGTTGCCATTGGCAGAGGCCTTGGGACCCTCTTTAATATTAAGGGGCTTCTGTATTCTGTTTTGAAATAGTTTTGCATTTGGGATTGAGAACCCTCCCCCTGATGTTGAGCAAATCTCGGACAGTAGCCCGGTGACTTCTGCAGATTCTGCAGATTCTGACTATTGAGTTCTGGACTGTTGGTGTTCTTCACAAGGAAAATTCTAGACTGGCAAAGGAGCTTTGTGCTGTGTATCCTCTTTCTTCTGGAGGCAAAATTGAAATTAGTTTTTTTTTTTTTTTTAATTAGTTTTGAGTCATGAGGGACTTTGATCCATTCTTGTCTCCAAGAAAAGACTCCTTTAGAATGAGGAAAATCCCATGGAGGCGTCCATATTTATTGTAGTGAGTGAGTCTTGTTGGCCTGGGAGGCTTATGTTAACAGGCTTAAAACAACTCACTTGGCAGCTGGTGACAGCCCCCGGAGACTTTACCGAGCTAAGATCGTCATCTCATTTGTCTTTTTCTGTCTCCTTTGCAGCCTGAAAGGATAAACCCAGAGCTCAATCAGAAGGGATACAGTGTAAAGTCTGACATTTGGAGTCTGGGCATCACAATGGTAACGTGTGATGATCATTCCGGACTGTGAGGTTCTGGGCAGGAAGCTGAAATGGGGTGGGTTTTGCGAACAAAAGGGCAAATGCCCTAATGGTGGGTCCCGAGTATCCTCTACTGCTGGACGGGGCAGGAGGTTTTGCGTGACGATTGTCTGCGGGATGTTGTGGTGGAAAGACTGCGCTAGGATTGGGCAAACCCAGTCTTTCTCTTTATTCCCCCCTCTAACTGGGCTTGGGCCCTCGAGTAAACCGATACAGTCGCAAGGACTGTCTTATTATCCTCATCTGTAAAATGAATCCTGCCTATAGCTCCTGATAGTTTATAATTCAGTTATAGTTTAAAATTCAGTTATTCTCATCTAGGCATAAAGTTGAAGCTACTCCCGGAATGTAAATGTGTGTGGACCCTGACCGAGCTGCGGTCCAGGACAGAGGCTGTGTTTCCCAGAATATGGTTCTGGTAGACATCCTGGCCACTGAGGTCAGATATAGCCAAAAGACATAGTAACAAACAAGATAATTTCCTGAGGCACAATCCTACAGTTATCCTTTGTAACTTGGGTGATCGTACATTTTCAGTGGATCACCAAGGTCTGGAATTACCCACTGTGGTCCTGGCTCCTTCCCAGGCACGGCAGCTGATTAAATCCCGTGGGTTATTTCACATCCCTGCCCAGAATACATGTGATGATCTTGTCATGGCGAAGTGGCCTTACTCAGATCCAAAAAAAGATCAGTCATTCGGTCCCTGAGTTTTTTGTTGTTGTTGTTGTTGTTGTTTTTTCCCCCATTCCAGTGAGTGGCCTGCAGATGGCAGCAGATACACAGCTCTGGAAAATCTTAGGGCGAGACTAACTTTTCAGACTGAACATTGGAACACCTGGTTACTTTACATCCCAAAGCTGCCTACTGCTGGCTTACAATTTTATTAAGTGTCACGTGGCTTTTGGTGAGGACCTAGTTATAAATAGGCTTCATTGGCTGCCTCCAGTAAGATAAAAATCCCTGGCGGTAGGAATGGGGGAAATGTAGAGAACATATTGTTAATTTATTTGTCCCCAAATTTTACTTGAACTTCACCTCTGTGATTGCCGCAGATTCTTCTGGAACAGCAGAGCACCGCGGGTGCCCTAAAGTGGTTCTGTCTCAGCGGTTGTCCCCTTGTTTTTTTCCTCCCCTCTAGATCGAGTTGGCTATCCTTCGGTTTCCCTACGACTCTTGGGGAACTCCCTTCCAGCAGCTCAAACAGGTGGTAGAGGAGCCCTCGCCACAGCTCCCGGCGGACAAATTCTCGGAAGAGTTTGTTGACTTTACCTCACAGTGGTAAGAGAGCCTGGCTGCCAAGAGCCAGTGGGAAGGAAGGAGAGGAGTTCTCACGAACTTCCTCTGTTGGTCTTAATCCATTACACATGCATTCATTCCAGAAGCATTTATGGAGTGTGCCCTCGATGCGGGAGAGACAAAGGTGCCTTTATCCCAGTCCCTGCCCTCAGTGAACTCAGAGTCAAGTAGGGGAGTCTCTTCAGTCCGTGATGTTGGTACCATATGGCGATCCGGGGATGGAGCTGTGCCCAGGGTATTTGGGGAACGCAGAGGAAAGGCATTAGGATGGAGTTTCTAGGGGAGAGAAATCCTGTGCTGAAGACCCTAGGAGGTATTTTTCCAAGCAATCAGGGAAGTAAGGAAGGGAAAGATACTCTAAGCAGAAAAAAGATCATGCTTCATGTCACAAGAGCGAGAAACTCCTTTATGAGAGCTATAAGCTGTTTTGGCATTGATTGGAGCACGGAAAGAACAGTTAGGGCAGGGGAGTAGGTAAGACGGTCTTGTGTTTTGTAGGCTGCCTCCTGCACAAGCCTTGTTAGCTGTGGGTACCCTTGCCCGTGAGGGTGCGATGGACAGTGCTGGGGGTCTGAGGAGGGAATCTAAGGAAAGTCAGAGTAGAAAAATGGAAGGAGTCATGCTAACAGCGTAGACTTTGTTTTCGTGGAAATTGTCAGGGGAATCGAGGAAAGTAGGAGAGGGCATGCACGGTGACCATACCCCCTGGTATAACCCGATACTAAGGAACATCCCAAGTGTTCCTGGAAGACGACACCACAGGGAAAGTACAAAATGACACTTGTTTACATGGGTGCCCAGCAGAAGCAGATAGTGCAAAGTCCTGCTGTCACCCCGGGAGGGGGGCCATCATGGCCGCCCCCTGCTGAGGAAATGGCTGGGCTTCTGAAGGCCATCTGACGGTCCTCAAGGTTATCATTTCTTGGCCTCCGTGCTCTTTGGAAGAAGTGTCCTGAATGCAGCTTTTATTGGGAAACATGATGAGACAAAGCAACTGTCTGTTGTTTGTGAAACGAAGGCCTCTTGGAATTTTCGTTAGCGCTGGTCCCCGGGGTCACCCCTGGTATTTTGCTCTGATGCATGAGGCTGGCCTACTGTTGGTTGTTTTTGTTTAATTTTTGGCCAAATGGTGAGAGAGAGGGGCTGGAGCCATGGGCTGGAGTACAGTGTGTTGTTGGGCGCCTCTGACGGGGCATTACTTCTGGGCTACTGACGTGGGTCCTCCCCTCTGCTTTCCTTGGACAAATGTGCTGGATGGGGTAGGACACTGGTCCGGCTGAGATGGGCTCATGATTTTGCCTTCTGGATTCAAGAACTTTTTTTTATTGTGTATTTGTTTTTTTTTTTTTTTCCCTTTTTCTTTTCTTTTTCCTTATCCTCAAGTGTTTAAAGGTCACAGAGGAAAAGGGGTGAGTCATCTTGGAGAGTTCAGACCAGTAGTTCTGAAGAGGAGTGGTAAAGGGGAAGGATCTCATCTAGGGAAGTCTTGTCAAACTCTCTTCCCAGTAACCTTTCTCCTGCCTGTTCCCCTCTCCCCAGGATTCTGGCTGGGTACTTCGGGGAACTGGGTAAGAAGGAGGCTGGTGTGAAAAGCTTGAAAAAGTGCAGCTGCCTGTTGAGAATCGCTAGTTTACTGCAACTGTGGTCCACGCTGGCTTTTGGTTTCCAGACCTTGAAAGAACTTACCAAATGTATTGTCGCTTAGGCCACACCCTCAGAATTCTGATTTCATGGATCTGGGGAGGGTCCCCAATATCAGTATTTTTCGAAGGTTTTCATATCGTTCTACTATGCAGCTGGGGCGAGAACCCCTGATTTTGCTCTGTGGTCTGTGGACCCGATATCAACGGCTTTCTTTTCAAAACCCGTTTTTCTTGTATAATTTGTTTTTGAAAAATGGTGCAATTACTTTTTTTGTTCACTAGCGTATTTTCCCTCTTACTTAGAATTTCTCCCAAAGATTCAGAGCATTAAAGCTTTTTAGGGATATTTAGAATATGAAAACCTTGAGAAGTAATGCTAATTTTAGTGTCCGCACACGTACTTACAGGGACAATCCAGAATGACCTGTGCCCCTGCTGTGCCTTCCCGAACACTGCTGGAACCTGCAGCGACCTCCGAGGCCTCCCTGTTCCCCTCTTGTCTGCTGTCAGTTTTTGTCCCAGCTGCTGAGGTTCATTAATTTAAAAACTTTGAGCCGTAGATATTTTCTAGCTTTCCTGAAGCTGTTCCTTGCTATTAATTCCGTTTCATTTTACTCATATTCATGTCAGCCAGTCTGGCTTGCTTAAGGGGTTTACCGTCCCCCCCCCGCAACACACACATACACACATTAATAGAAACAAAACTCAAGTCACCTAAACTTTGAAGTTTTACAAGAATAATTATTCAAACTTTCAGTGTATTTCCTGTAGAGTGTGACATTTCAGAGTATCAATTGTGTAAAATGGTGAGTTGTTTTTGTTGGTGGGACAATTGGAAAGAATAAGAGAAGCATTTTTTTTTTTAACAGATTTTATGTATTTATTTGATAGACGAAGATCACAAGTAGGCAGAGAGGCAGGCAGAGAGAGAGAGGGGGGAAGCAGGCTCCCTGCTGAGCAGAGAGCCCGATGAGGGGCTCGATCCCAGGACCCTGAGATCATGACCTGAGCTGAAGGGAGAGGCTTTAACCCACTGACCCACCGAGGCGCCCCTAAGAGAAGCATTAATTCTGGATTTACCAGCATTCTTAATGATCCTCTCTTGGATTTTTTTTTTTTTTAATACAGGCTCTCTTCTTTTAGACAGCAGATCAATAATAGCTTTTTGCCTCCTGTAAAGTACCACTAGATATATTTTTGATACCCCCTTAGTATGGACTCCGTTTTGAAATCCACTGAGTTGGAAATGTTGTCTAAGGCTTCAGAAACACAGTGCTGATTTTTTAAAAGGATTTTTGTACTAGCTGATAGGTACACACCTGCTTCCAGGGGCAATGTCGTTATTTCGCTCATTTTACTACTGACAGTTTTAAATTTGATCTGGAGCTGAGCAGATGGAAAGGATGTGAAAGTGACTACCTAAGAACACCCTCTTCTATTTCTTGATGAAGAAATGGATCTCTTTTATAGCTGTTCCTCCATTTTCCCATGTACATGGCTGGATTTGAGATACCTGTTCATGAGCGGATGCTTTTTGGAGGAATCTCCATGTGTTTTTTGTATTTCCATGGCATAGTCAGGCTCTGATCCTTCAAGACTTTCTCAGAAAGCCCCTGTTTTTGTGGTTAAGTGGGGAAAGGGGAATACAGATTTGGAAAGTGAAAGGTGAATCCCAAATTTTGAGATAGATGCATCCTGGTGGTTTTATCTCCTAACTCTGTCTTTGGGCTGAGTGTGGAGCTAGAAGAGAAAGGTGGCATTACCCACAGCCTTGGTCATCTGTCAGAACACTTGTGACCTTTCCCAGGAGGTGTGCTAACTCAGCGTTTGATGACCACTCCCCACCCCCAACACCCCCCGCAGAGCTGCTTCACACTGTATGGCCTCATCCAGGGAGTCTCTCTGGCTTTCGGTCTCCTCTGGTCACTGCACGTGAGTTGACAGTAATCCCAGTCTGCTGGGGGAGTAGAAAGCACTAGCAGGCTATCACTCTTATACCTAAAGTTACCTCTAGAACCCAGAGCCCCAGCTGATGTGTTTTTTGTTTTTTGTTTTTTTTTTTTAAGATTTTATTTATTTATTTGACAGAAAGAGACACAGCGAGAGAGGGAACACAAGCAGCAGAGGGAGAGGGAGAAGCAGGCTTCCTGCGGAGCAGAGATCCCGATGCAGGACTTGATCCCAGGACCCTGGGATCATGACCTGAGCCCAAGGCAGATGCTTAATGACTGAGCCACCAGGGAGCCCCTGATGTGTTCTTTTGTCCTAGCATCAGAGAGACATCATCCTGGGGGTGGGGGTGGAGTAGGGGAGAGGGAGAATGGGGACCAGGGGTAGGAGAGGAAAGAAAGTTGAGGCATTTATGCCTTATGGACTTAAAAGGAAAAACCAGTGATGTTCTACTAATCCTTCCTTTCTGCACTTATTTTGAAATAATTCCATAGAATGACATTTCCTCCTCTTTTTATTTTCCCCCATACACATGGTTTTCTTATCCTAGGGGTTTTAAAGCGCTCCTAGAGTAAGTGATGCTGTCCTTCAAGGCCTTGTTTTGGGATTCATAATTGAGAAGTCTCATAGAAAAGTCTTACTTTCTAGTCCGACAGAGGGTGAACAAATGAGTATCTAAAAAGGAAAAAGCGGAATTGTGGAAGGCTTATACTTCTCTCCAGAACCCCTTCCTGTAGGTGCGCAGGCTTGGTGACTGAAGGAAGTTTCTGGAAACCCAACTATGGAGTGCCCAAGCAGCACGACTTCTTTTTTGCTTTTCCTCCAGGCTTATTTGAGAGGCTCTGTGCCCGGCTGACCAGCCTGATGGCATCTCGGAGTGTGTTGGAGGCTGCCCCAGACGTTGAGACTGACTCAGAGGAACTAGCATAACACAGGCACAATCAAATACAGTTCTTGACTTGTTCATGAAGAAAGCGTAAACAGAGGCACTGGATATTTATTTAGCTTATGACAAATGTATGGTCTTGAGAGGCATAATGTGTTTTTTTTTTTTTTTTTTTTTTTTTCTGTGAACATACCAAATAGCCCTTCTTGGAAACCATCAGGGGGAATTCAAATAGGCAGAAATCCTCTGGTCAGCACAAACTCCAAGCTAGCAATTCTCAAGGCAGCGTGAAGCCGTTTTTTAGTGTCAGCTACGGTCAGGAGCGTGTGTTGTGGCATTTGGAGGAGGAATTAGAGCCCTTAGCTAATGGCATGCTTGAAAATGACAAGCCGCTTGAAAATGCAAAAGTCTGGCTCCAATCCAAAAAGAAATTGGTGTAGCTTTGAACGCCACGGTTGTTATTTTATCCTGAATTTCAAGCACTTCCTATCAAACGTGGAATATTTGCTTTCCCCTCCCCCATAACCTTAGCCTGAGTATTTTGCTATTCTTAGCCTACGTTTTGAAGTGTTCTCCATTTAAAAGATGGAGAGAATGGGTTTTATCAGTTATAGTAATTCAATAAACAGCCTGATTGCTGTGTAGGTATTTTCCATGAGTGCACCTCAGTAGTGCTTGTGGTAAATTTTTGAGCTTTCTAATCAGAGGCCATAAGTAAGAAAGCCTATCAGCTAGCGATCCGTGAGGTTTCAGGAATCTGAAACATCTTCTGATGCATCAACTTGGGGTGCTTTCCCTACATTTTCTTTATACAGACTAAGAAAAAAAAAAAAAAACAAAAAAAACCAAAAACCAAAAAAACGAACTCCAGAGAAATTTTCTTAAACTGTCCCAGAAGTGAAAAGATAAGCTCTCCTGACTTAAAATGATCTCTCCTTAAAAAAAGGAAGCGCTTACATTCCTCAACCTGATGAGACCAGAGAGTCTTTTATTACTGACGAAATAGAAGTTCAAAAATCAGCAAACATCACAAAGATCTCTGGTTGGTAAAAGGTGCCAGTGTTCTAACATTTGAACAAGAAGCCTCTTTTCCTGTCATCCCCTCAGTTTGGTTGCTGACCAGTGGAAGCCAGTGATGGCACGGTGGGTCATGGTCCTCAAGGAGAATGGATGTTGGCAGAGTCCACGCCCAGTCCTGGTCTGAGGACTCCCTTAGGGGCCCATCTAGGTAGAGACACCTGACATCAATCACGTGGCTAGTGCGTGCTGATTTCAGGCGATGTCTGTGTTTCTCATGATTGCCTCTAGCAAGTTAAATTGTCCAGATCCTGGAGAAGACTTTCTGGTTTTTGACGCTTTGAGCATTTGCCGAAAACTCAGGGCTTTTGTCCATTAGCCTGTTTGTTTTCCTCGCTACGGTCTGTGTGCAAGTCCGCAGAGCTCCTGGGATCCCATTTCTTCATGTCTGTTTCCTTCGAGGTGAACTAGCTCTTGAACTTAGAAAACTTCTGCTTGCCGGGGTTCAGGGAGAGAGAGCTGGTAGTGTTGAGAATGTGCGCAAATGACAGACGAATCAGCCAGAGGTGCTTCTCTGTGAATTTCATTTCCGAGTAGGGTATAGAAGGCAGCAAAACGGAGGAATATCCTCATCCACGTGGCCCATGGGGTTTGCAACGTCAGCATTCATGACTTTTGGGACTGGGTCATTCTTTGTGGTGGGCAGCAGTGCTGTATCTTCTAAGCTGTTTAGTCATACCCTGAGCCGCCCCCTCCAACCCCGTGGAGATGCTGGTGGACGTCACCAGTTGTATCGACAACCCGAGATCGACAACCCAGGCATTGCCACATACCCCCTGGAGGGCAGGATCACCTGCACCGAGCACCCCCAATAAAGCCCTACAGAATCCCAGGCCATAGATACACACAGAGTCTTGGAAGTGGGACTTCCAAGGTCTCATTCATTTCACTCAGGCACACCTTCCCATTATCAATCTGGCTTTGACAGTTGATAATTCCTCTTTCTAATTCGCTCTTATTTTTATCCTCAGTTGAGACGAAACTTTCTCTCATAGGATGTCTGGTCACTGAGGTCACTAGGCCCTAGATCTGCCCTCAGTTCCAGGTTGAAAACTTCTCTCCTCACATCTCCTGTACCCTGTCTCAGGTTCCCTGGCTTCCACCCACAGCATTGCCTGGAATAAACTGGTAGGCTGCTTTAAGTTGTTTTGGCTCAAAAGCTTTCTCTCTCTCTCTTTTTTTTCTTCATTTCATTTTGTTTTATACCACACTTTCTCAAAACGTCTCACTCTCTTATGGCTTGTACCTTGACCCCCCACCCTTCCTCATTATTATTAGCCCATGATGGTGGAGCCAATCTCATGTCACACGTACTAGGTCTCATCTGCTCAAAATGATCCATTGGCACAAATCCCAGCAACCCTAATGATCAGTCACATTTTGGTTTCTTCAACGCCAGGCTACGTTCCTTCCATCCATGTGGGGTTCAGTGGCCCCGTGGGCAGAGGGGTCTCTAGGTCGCCTTGCAAACCACAGTTTTCAGAATCATCCTTCTCTCCATTAGGGGTTCCAACTCCCAATAAACCACTTATTTTCTTTCTTTCCATTTTAAGGCCATGGGTGGATACAGGGGTGGGCTGAGGATAGAGGTGAGGGGCTGGTCTCTTCTTACTGATGTTTTGTTACTGTTGCCTTTAGTATCAAATGTCCTTGAAACACTTGTGTCTCCAGACAGTCCTGTATACAGAATGGGAGCCACTCGACAGTCCCGCATGACCACAAAGAATTTCTAAGAAGAATCATTGCAAAGTCACTGAGTGTGCTTTCTCTTTCATTAGCCAGGAAGTTGTAAACAAGGAGCATTACTTTAGACATTTTTATGTGGGGGGGTGGTGTTGCTTCTATCTCAGGTGGGTTTGGTTAGGAATCTATAAAAGCAGATGATACATTCAAGGGAACCAGAAACAGGGAGAACCAGATATCAAAGATTGGAAAGAGAGAACATGTAGTATAAGAAACACCTGCCAGTTTCTTTGCCAGTGGGGGTGGAAGAAGAGCTGTTTTGAAGGAAAGTCTATATGTGTTTTGGAATGTGATGGCTGTAGATCAGAAAAGTTAGTTTGTATATCATTGGCAAAGTTTCAAAAAGAAAGTACACACACACACACACACACAGACACAGACCCCATTCTTTCTATGAAGATATACCTAGAGTGATTTAAAACATAATTTTATAAGTGTAACCAAAGAGGGGTTGTCAGGATAGGACATTCATGTACTCAATACATGTAAAAGCTGGTTATGTTTAGTCTTCTGCAGATTCTGAAATCCTAGTCTCGTGAAAATACATGTGAAAATGGTTCCTAGATTTTAATGTGTTTAATTTTTTTTTTCTTTAAGCTTGAAGAAGAATTCCAAAGAACGGCCAACATATCCAGAACTTATGGTATGTATTGTTAGCGGTGTAAACCTGTCCAAACCAACAGCTAGTAAAGTAAAGTGATTAAGACCTAAATTATAATCAAACAACCATATTAAAAGAGCCAGTTCATTGAGACATTGGTGACCCGAAGTGAATTCAAGCAAAAAAGAGTGTATCCTAAATCCTCCTTTAGTGTGGCTGGGGGCAGGTCGCCTTTCTTAGCAACTTTTTCCATGTTGGTAATCTTGTCATCATATAGACTAAATGATGCCTATAAAATTTACATTTTCAAGTTCTCAAGATATCAAGAGTCATTGATTACTAATATAAATGAGAGAAAGCATGCTTTAAAGGATTTCAGCAACGATGAAGACAAGTTCTAGGCAGCTCATCAGATATTTCTGATAAAATATTCAAGATTTGCTGGATGAGGTGCTTTTTGGTGGGTGTTTAGGGAGGAAAGACTCTTTATTTTTTCCTTTTGGTTTTCACGTTAGTGAAAAAACTAAGACCAAGCCTTATTAATTTGAGTTATATTACGTCTGCTTTCACAGCTTACCATTTGTACTATCTATGAAAAAAAAAAAAGAGTGAAAATAAGACCTCAGAGGAGTTGTTTTAAAATAGTTTCTCTTAAATTGTGGTAACTGTAACTGTAAGGTAATTGCAAATGATTCTTTAGCATAGATGGCAGGGGCGAAACTTAGAAACTTTATCGAGGTATATGTTGAAACACATTTTGGGGGGAAATACGATAAAATTCGGACTACTTACTAATTTGCATTAGCCACCATTCCTTAGATTTGTTTCAATTATCAAGGTTTTAATTTTAGCAGGGGAAGGAATAGTTTTGTTCAAGTAGAGGGAAGAGTAAATATTGACATTTCTTCCTGGAACACAGGTATCCAGCAGGCATTAAATACTTGCTTTTGTCCTACGCCAGACAAACAGTGCTCAGTGTTTAAGACTGAGGGCAGGGGCTAGAAGTATAGGTTCCTGAGATCTTTTACCAAATGGTGTGGTGAGGTGGCTCTGACAAGGGAGAAGTGTGTGTTATTTACTACCTACAAATATGTAATTGGCCATTTATATATATTCTTTGGAAAAATGTTTCTTGAGGTCCTTTACCCATTAAAAAAATTTTTTTTGTTTTGTTACTGAATTATGAGTATTTAAAAAACATATTTTGGATATGAACCTCTTATCAGATGTATGGTTTGCAAATATTTCCCCCCATTCTGTAGATTAACATTTCATTTCACTGATGAGTTCTTTGGCCGTGCGGATGGTTTTTAGTTTGATGTAATCCCCCTTAATTTTTGCCAACAAGTACGTGAAAAGGGGCTCATTGTCACTGGTCATCAGGGAAATACAAATCAAAACCACAATGAGACATCACCTCACACCTGTCAGAATGGCCATCATCAGAGAGAGAAGAGATAACAAGCATTGATGTAGAGAATGAATGTACAGAAAAGAGAACCCTTGGGCACTGTTCGTGGGAATGCAAAGGGGCACGACAATATGGAAAACAGTATGGCGGGGTTCCTCAAAAAAATTAAAAATAGAAATCTATCATCCAGCCATCCCACTTCTAGATTTATTTCTGAAGGAGATGGAATCACTATTGTAAGGGGGTATCTGGCTTGCATGTTCATGGCAGCATTATTTATAATAGCCAAGATGTAGAAACATGGAAGTGTCCATCAGGGCATGAATGGATAAAGAAAATGTGGTACACGCCTACACACTCAATGGAATATTATTCAGCCATAAAAAATAAAGCCTGCCTTTGGCAGCAATGTAGATAGAATGCGTATAGCATGGCCTATAGTTAATAATATATTGCACATTTGAAAGTTGCTAGGAGAGTAATCTTAGAGGTTCTTATTACCGAGGAAGAATGGTAAGTGTGTAAGGTGAAGGATGTGTTAGCTAACCTTATTGTGGTAATTATTCATATTCTAGGTATTGTTTCATAATCTAGAAGTTTATCAAATAATCACATATGCCTAAACTTACAATTATATTTCAATAAAGCTGGAGAAAAGAAAGGAAAAGAAAGAGTTACAGCCTGGAGATTTCAAGCCAGGAAGAAGTACAGAAAGCCGATTTATACAATAAGGGATGGTCACAGCCAGTCACATGGGTTTTTGGTTCTGTTGGTGAAGCTTTGATTTAAGTCTCAACCATTATTCAATGGGGAGACAGTAAAGGAACACGGGAGAGAGTTTTAGAATAGACAGGGTGGTCTCCTTCGGCTCCCCATTGTCCCCTCTAAAAAGGCATTCCCTGGGACTCAGCGTTCTGTTGGCTGTGTTTGACCAAGACCACAGTTGAGTGAGAAAAGATGAGTAATGTTTGAAAAAATCTCAGCGTACCACATGTTTGGGTTGAACATTTCTTACTGGATGTGTGTGTGTGTGTGTGTGTGTATGTGTGTATATATATGTGTGTATATATATATATATATATATATATATTTTTTTTTTTTTTTTTTCCCTCCCTGACTATATTTTTAATAGCCAATCAGGGGCCTTTTTAGTCCCGGCTACCCTTTCTGGGTATGCTTATGTAACCCGGAGAGCATTTTAAAATTAATTTCACATAAAGTGCAACAGACATGGAGTGATTTCTGGGGTATCTCAGGAGGCCTGTACTCCTATAGTAAACTTGCCCTGTTTGTCCCTATTTTCAGATAAGAGAGCATTTTCTATATATTTAGGGCTATTTAAAATGTGGAACTTTTCTTCCCCCCTTCCAAGTGACCTCTTATCAGAGGTTTCAATGGAGCACTCTTGAGGAAAAAAAAATGCTGAGTTTCTGCTTAGTATACATGAGCAGCTGATGTTGAATTCCACTTTCCAGTATGTTCTAAGGCTGTGGTCTTTTCTGGTCAGCATATTAACGTTACAAAGTCATGTGCATTTCCCTCCCCCGTCCCCCACTTCTTTTTACGACACTAGTCTGTGTGGTACTGGAAATGGACTTGCCTTCTAAGGCTATAACTCCTCTCTGCTTTCCTGTGAAATTGAGGTTTTTAAGTGGAAAATCTGAGTCCAGACGCTTTGACTTAAACATTGGGAAAACACATGCTGAGAGACTATTGTTTAAACGGTAGGAGTTGGTGAAGAAGGAGGGGGGGAATCCTTTTTCCAGGTGAAGCGCGGGATAATTAAGGCTCCAACCCAGACGTGTACCTCTTCTAGAAATCTCAACTGCTTCCCCCTCCCCCGTCTCGGACTGAGGGGTGTATGTGATTTCACATCATCTCATTTGCTTGTTCTCCCAGACTCCCACGGGGGGGACATGACTCAGTAGGATGTCTTCCTCTAGAGTGGGGACCAGCCAACTTTTTCTGCAAAGGGTTAGTAAATATCTGCAAAGGGTTAGTAAATATTGTGGGCTGCTATTTGACTCTGTTTGTGTGTGTGTGTGTGTGTGTGTGTGTGTGTGTGAGAGAGAGAGAGAGAGAGAGAGAGAGAGCAGCCATATTCAATACATAAACAGATGGTGTCCGGAAGCCTTTACTTCACATATAGGGAGTGGGGTACCCTTGGCCCCCGGACTGTTGATTGCTGACCCCTGTCCCAGATGATAACCACCGGAAATGATAATCAGGTGATGCAGGCGATTGTCCGGGGAGGGGACTGTGTTCTTCAAATATCCGGGAAGCTCTAGATTGACTCACAGCGGTAAGCAAGGCTGACTGTACCCCTAGAAAATCATAGCCTAAACGGGTGACGTGTTGTGTAGAAGATACGGTGACCGCTAGTGCTCGCGGCTTACCCTGATGTTGCTGGTCGTGTGTTCTTGGATCTCTGTGTTTTCTCCAGGCACAACCGTTGGTAGTGTCCTCCCTTCCTGCCCCTGGTTCCTTTTCTGAGAAACCCAGCCTAGGGATGAATCCACAGTGCCTCATTTGCTCGCCTCCCGGTTGCTGGCTTTGCTATTCTTAGGCCATTGCTTATAGAGGGGACTGGGTTCCCTCCCAACCTTTTACGGCCTCAAAACCCACACAAGAAAGCGAGTCACACTTTCCATTTTAACATGCCTGCCTGCTCTCCCCTCCCCCCAGCCCTCCACCTCTCCCAGCCGTTGCCCCGAGAAGAAAGTAAAAGATGCCTGCAGATTTTTTCTTAAACACTTGAGGTCAGGGTATTTGATTCATTCACAGACTACAGCTCCATGCACTGAGCTAACAGCCAGAGCAGAACCGGGGTGGGGGTGGGGGGGGGACGATGGGGCTGGGAGGCATCGAAAGTAGTCACTGAGACAATCTGAGGTTTGACATGTCCTGTTTAGATAGTAAAAATTTTAAGGACATTAAAAGATCACCAAATGTCAAGAGGATGTGGGAAAGCTAATGAGCATGGTGGTCAAGCCCTTGGTAAGTGTGCTGAGTAAGTGGTTAGTAATTAGAAGTAACGTTGCTGTTTACTTGCACGGGGAGCTCAGGGCCAAAGTTCCTGCATCTTCCGCAAATACGGTGGGTGTGAGGCTGTGAGCCAGCCCCCAACCTGTATTTTCCAGATGGGCGAGAGCAGAAAGCCTCTTTATCTTTTTTTTTTTTTTTGGAGTCATGATACTTAACCAGTGACTACCTACCTACATTTGGGTTTGACTCCTTTGTTCCTTTCCCATTTGCATTATTTCCTAAAACTTCCATGGTGGGCATGGAACTGGGTGGGCATCCAGTTCCCCACAGAGCTGACTCATGTCGCCCTGTGCTGTCAGGTCTAAAACAAATATAATTAGAAAACCTACAGCCAGGCAACACAGAGGGTATAAACTAACATCCCCAAGGGCAGAGGGAAACGGAGTGAGTCATCTACGTGTCTGCAGGCAAAAACTTTCCCATTTAGCTGCTCAGCCTCGTCGCTGAAAATAATGCCACCAGACAGTGAGGGAGGTGGCCGTGACTGGCTGGCCGGAGGAGGGCTGCACGGCACTGGGTTCTGTCGGAAGGAATTGCCCTTTTTGGTTTGCGGGTTTGATTCTGTTTCCACTGTGAGCGCTGTGGTTCGTGAGCTGATGTCGATCCTTTTAATTAGAAGTGTGAGGTTCCCGGGTGACAGCCGGGAATTTACTGTGACAAAATTGAGCCTTTCGGGGAGGGTTGTACTGGTGCAGAGAGGAATGTTTCGTTCTCTTCAGCACTGTTTTGGAATGTGTGGTCTCTTGGACCCACTATGCCACTATGACTGCTAGCCCTGGTGTTTTTGTAAAGTTTGCTTAATCTGATCTGTGTGAATAGAGACCATTTCTTTCTTTCTTCTTCTTCTTCTTCTTCTTTTTTTTTTTTTTTTTTTTTTTTTGCTTTTCAGTCTTTAATCTCCAAGTTGAATTTCTCTGCCCATACCTAGAGTTTGGCACTGGACATTCTTTTCCAGATGGATCAACTCTTCGTCAAGAGAGACATAAATTGTGGCTGTCAATGTGGCTTGGACAGTGTTAAGCACTTTTGTCCAAACCAGCTCTCCAGCATCAAGGGAAAGCAATGCCTTGCCCATTTGCTGGGCTATGGAATGGGATGCTTATGCTACCATTCCATTTCCTGAGAAATTGGTGTACATGAGTCTATGAGATTTCTCATTATTTTATTATATCGGTCTAAGATTACTTTGTAGGGGACAGGGTAATCGGTAGATCACCATTTGGGCTTTCTTTGCCCAAATCCTTAGTTTTCAGCATAGGTGGGATTTTTGTAGCCTAATTACAGGTTTATCTTGTAAAACAGTAGATTCTCTGTAGCAGAAGCAGATACCAACCTGGGAGGGGTACAATAAAAGATAAAAGGTATCTTTAAAGGGTCCACATCAGTAGACGTGTACTTGATTTGGGAAGAGGTAACAAGCGTCCATTTTAAGCCCGAGGGGTCATTTGAATCTGCTTACCAAACACATCTGTGAAGTTGTGCGCATCTCCTATCTGGTCAGCGGCGAATATTAATACCGTGTGTTTTTCTTTTCTTTCCCAGCAACATCCGTTTTTCACCCTACACGAATCCAAAGCAACAGACGTGGCATCTTTTGTAAAACTGATTCTTGGAGACTAAAGTATCACGGACTCGCTCGGTCGGCCCTCCTGTGGTTTGGTGGGTTTACGGGACGAAGCAGGTTCACTAAAACACCAATAGAAACTCATCTTTGAGATAATTTAATCCTGCCTCTCAGAAGGTTTTTTTTTTTTTTTCTCCCCATTTTCTTTCTTTTTATTTTTTCCCCCCTCCCAAGGGGGCTTGGAATCTCTAGCATAGAATGGACTGTCTAGATGGATGAAATATGGCAAAGGCTTAGGACTTAAAAAGGTGATTAAATATTTAATGAGGTGTCATATGAGTCCTTAAGCTTCTCCGACTTCTCTTGTTCTTTACGAAACGAATGCATTGGCCCTGGTCACAAGGTGCTACCCTAGTGATGAAATTGTAAGTAGATCTGTAGTTTGTCCCACTTGTTATTTTAATATTTATGTTTCAATGCTTGGTTGCAAAGATTCCGTTTTATGCAAGGAGGGGATGCAAAAGGCAAGGTGGGGCTGGCAATATTTATAGGGCTTTTATTTTGTAAATTCAGTCGTGTCTGTGGTCCAGAAGAAATTATTTAATAGGCATCTTTAAGAGTATTATAACAGTATCAACAAGGAGTTCTTGTAACCTACCTGTTTCAGCTGTTGTGGCTGCTTGCCACGTCCTTGGATTTCTGCTCAACTCTGGGTCATAACCACAGTATTTCAGGTGAAGTGGCGAGGTAGCCCGGTCATACCCTTTTTCTAACTTTGGAAAACATAAAATCACTTTGATCGCATCTCAGAGTCACGGATTGGGTTCTCTTGGCATTTGTGGTATTGACGGCATGGGATTCGTGATGTGGTTTTCTATCACCTCTCTCTCCTTGTGCGTGTTTGTGTGTGTGTGTGTGTGTGTGTGTGTGTGTATCTGATAGATCTTAAGCTCTGCTAAGTGGCTTCTGTGAACATCTCTATTTAGTAAGAAGGATGTGTGTCAATTCTGCGAGGAGCTGTCATTCAAACCACACAGAGAATCGGTGCCTTCTTCTGCTCCTGCCCCTCCTTAACGATGTATACGCCCCAGGGATTGACTCGGTAGCCATCCTTCACAAACCCTTTTTCTTCTTCTTTTTTTTCTCTTGTTCGATAAAGAAGCCTTACTACTAATGGGAGGGCTACAGTAGAAGACGGTGGAAGTTCTTTGAGAAGGTGAGGAGTTAATGGGGAGGGTTGAATTCGTTCCTTGAATGGGCTGCCAGATTTCCACAGCTTGAGGTAAGGCCACATTCTTCTCCAGCAGCACACAGTAGGTCATTCTGCGGGAGGAACTTTTTGGCTGGGGCCCTTGTGGGTCCCCGGCAGGTGGACAATGCAATGAAAGCCCCTTCTTGTGGCTACATAGGTCCCCGGGTTCTCTAGGTTCCTTGAGGAGAGGGGAGTGAGGTGATACAGGGAGATATAGGGATCATAACAGGGAAAATAAAAAATATAGGGATAATAACCAGGAAACATTGCTTTTGGACACTGGGTTGATAAAAGGCTTTTCCTGGAGGACAAGGATGGAGAATTCACATTAAAAAAGAAGAGATCTCACTCTGTTGACAGATATGGGGATTATTACTCTCTAAAAACCTCCCTTCTTCCCCCTTTTAGATTTTGAAGTGCTGTTACTTATTTTTCTGTGTCTGCGTTTTCCCCTTTACTTGACCTCTGTCTCACTCATAGCTGTTGCCCCGAGTGAGTATGGTACTTCCATACTCTTCTTTGTATCCAGTTCCAAGATATACCTGTCTGATCTAACGTGGTTTCATCTTCTTGAAAGCTACCTCTGTCCTCATCTTTTTCCAGACAGAAATGTTTGTTATCCTCCTAATTAAGGCCATTCACTTTCCCACCCAACTTTCTAAATCTAGCCATTTCTCTCTTTGAGATAAAGAGACACGAAACAAAACAAAACACAATTGTATTCCTTCCTTCCTTCATCCATCTTATGAAAAAAATCAAGTAGTAGAAAAAAAAAAAAAATTGGAGGTCATTCCATGACAGTTTTTGGTGAAATACATAAAGGAAAACAACTTTCTGCTCTGAGTCAGGTAACTCTCACCTGCTGTTCAGTGTGGTTTCTGCTTAGAAACAGTCTTAACCAAATGTGTTTGCCTGTGTGCACCTCTCCAGTGTGCGGGCCTAGGGCCTCAGCTTGCAAAACAATTACACAGAGGTGGCGGAGGAGTTTATCAGTGGTTCTCAGCTTTGCGCACACTCGTATCACTGGGAGCTGGTGGACACGTGCAATGCCAAGGTTGGGGTTTCGATGGTCCAGCGTGGGGCCTGAGAATTGGTCTTTTTCACACTTTCTTTGTGATTCAGATGCACAGCACAGTTAAGGACACTGGTTTAGTACTTCCAAAAGAGAGAACTCACCTACAGTTTCTCTAGAACATTGGCAGAGAGGAACAAGAGCCTCGACTTCTTTCTGTGTCCTCATCAATGGGGACATCTTCGCCACTGTCAGAGATGGCACGTGATCGGAATACTGATTTGAAACTTGGAATACGTTTTCCCCATAGAAATGATGGGCTCCATGGTGATTAGCTGTCTTCTGTGCTAAAGTAGAATGACTTGATAGTCTTATGAGTCTAAATTATAGAATGTGGGGTTTTTTTTTTTTGAGAACTCTTATAAGTTCTAAACTAATTTTACAATAAAGATGGAGACGCATCAACCATATTTAAGTTGATGTACATTGGAATTCTCTTGTACGTACACGCAGGTCCCTGGATCCTCTACCCTGACTCTGCTCATTGTGCATCCTTATTATTGTTTTTGTCTTTGCTTGCCTCTGGTCGGCTAGCTTTTTAACTGGTGTCCTACCTTCCTTTGTTGTTGATCACTCCTGCCATATTGGATGTCCTAGTTGGGGACACGAGATACTCATTAGCCTCAGCATTTGAAGAAGCCAACGCTGAGACTGAAGGGGCTCCTGGTTTCTCCGAGTGCACTTGATTTAGTGTCTTTGGAAAGTGATGACAAAGGAGACAGAGCGGGGCTAATGTTTTCATAGCTTTTAACACTAAAAATGCCTCTGTTGACCCACAGCTTTCATCAGCTCTGCTGAGAGAAACGTTCTTCCAAAGCTGTCTAACGAAACGCTTTATCTTCACCCCGAAAGTGAACTAGATGCTTAGTCCCGGACGTCCAGCCCTAAGGCTCTTTTTGCCCACGTGACTGCCTCCAACCTCGAAGGGAGGATTCATACATTCGTAGAATTCACTGGAGTTGGTGGTCAGATTGAGTAAAATGAATTAAACCTCTGTTGTGCTGGGGATTTTGTCTTCTTATTGTCTGTCTAGGGCTCAGAGGGCGATTCGCTGGCTTAAAGCAATCTTCCGTTTTTATTGAATTCGCAAGTAGAAGGTGTGGTTTTTTTGGACCCCTGAACTTTTATATATTCAGATGGAAAATCACCAGAGTAAAATCTAGGGCAAAGACACTACCAAACAAACCCTATTAGAATAGGGAAAAAAAAAAAAAGAAAAAAATATATTTTATTGTAGAAGCTCTGTGTTCCTCTTGTCTAGGGGTGTGTGTGTGTGTGTGTGTGTGTGTGTTTTAGCACTGTTAAATATGCTGGTAGCTAAAGATACTCTTTGGTTTTCTTTGGCTTTAATTGGGGTACTCTGGATTTCTTTAGGAATCTGTTGAAAGCTAGGACCTTTTCCCTAGAAAAATCCCTAGGTACACGGAACACATAGTTTTGCAAACATTTTTTTGTTGAAGGAAGGGGAGTGAAGTCCAGTTTATAGACCCCGTAGGGTCAGTAACCTTTCTCTGAAGAATGTGGACTGTGACATTCTGACCAAAACTGGCAAACTTTTTCTGTAAAGGGCCAGGTAGTAAATATCTTTGGCTTTGTGTCCTGTCAGCCTGTTACCACAACTTGGGTCTGCTGTTGTAGATCCGTAAACCATACATAAATGAATGAGCGTGGCTCTGTGTCCCAGTTCAGCTTGATTTACAGAATCAGGTTATTGGCTGGATTTGGCCCACAGGCTGTGGTTTGCCAGCCCCTGTCCTGGACCATCAACCACAAAGCTTTGATGAACTCTGTCTAGAGACTTTTTTCCATTTAGTGAGTATTGAGCTCAGCTGCTATTAGGACGTAGATTAGGACGATGGACGTAGGAAATGAATTTGGGAAGTGGGGGAGACTCTTCATTTTCTCTCAGGTAAGTATTCCTTGCCTGGGAAGCCAAGGGGACAGTTTTCCTCAGATGAGATCGAGTACCTACTTTTTCTGTTTCTGTACGATCACCGACATAACTTACTTCAACTTGGAAATAAAAGACAGGCTTTTCCTAGACGTCAATGACATTCTTGTTGTCTCTGAGTTTTGCATTTTGTTTCTCTCTGTGGTGTGATGCTTGTGCAGGGAGAATCATGAACCCAGACACCGATCATTTGGTTTTCCTTTTCTCCGAACTGCATTAGGTTGTAAGAATTTGGGAGGCCATGGGGTCCTCAGAAGTAGAAGGCAGGTAGAATTCTTAAAATCTTCTAATTCATCCACCTGGGCTCTTGGGTCATCTTTGAAGAAAGTAAGACAGACAAAGTTTGGGATCAAAAAACTTGTTTGCAGGCAGGCTCAGAGCTCTGGGCTCTCACTGTGACAGTAGCCTTAGGCCCACCCTTGGGTACTATCCTAATTGTTGCTAAGTTTCTATCTTAAGGGGCCTAGGCAAAATGCCTCCTTCCTGACGGGATGCTCTTGGGTTGCCAACCCGGTTGAGTTTCTGGGCCGCCCCGTCTCTAGGGAAAGCTTTGCCTTCCCTATGGGACCAGAACAACTATAATTTACTACACCTTCTGTCAGCACTTGTCCCCTCTTTGCTATAAGAGCCCTATACAAAGACCCGTCAGCCACCTAAGCTGCCCAGGTCCACTTTCTTCTCCCAGAACAGCCCAACACATCTGACTTGGTCCTGTCGTGTCTTTATTATTCAGAAACGAGTTTTCTTCCTGCTGCATCATCAGGCAGACATGCATTATACTTAGAAGGACCCTCGGAACCTCCTGAGGAGCATAGTTAAGTATTCGATCTGGCAATTTACCTGAAAGAATGTTTTCTCTTCGCCTAGGGAACCAAAACCCGAATTTCAGAGCCTTCAAAATGAAATTATCTTTCTGGGGAAAGCACCTTGCCACCAAATGCATCCCTTACCCCCTGTTCCTGGTGTTTGCAAAGAAGATGAGTCCTTTTGCCGAAGTTGAGAGGGTCACTGTTGACAGCTATGCAAATATAACTGTACCATTGTGGGTTTTCTAATGGAGTCATTAGGAATTAACACTTAATGTTGGGGTATATCTTTTGGGCTCCTGACCCAAACTCCTTTTTCAAGCAAAATCTCTAAAAGCCTCTTTGCTGTCTGAGGTGAAGGGGACTGGGCCCTTAATAGAACACAAAGCAAGGTCAAGGACTTTGTGGTAGAGATTTTTTTTTTTTTAAGGAAAAAATATTCCATCTAACACAAACATGTGTTCATAGAATTCAAAACTATCCAACCTAGTTCCCACGGGACTGTCAGGATCTTGACATCATTCATATTGTTATTTAACGATGACACCGAGCCCTTCGTCCTCGGGAGTTTGCAGTGAGATTTGGGGAGATTTGCACTGTGTTTCTGTCTTCGAGTTGTTGGTCTGGAAAGGTTCCTCTTTTGGCCTTTCTTTGGGATATGTGCACGTTTCCCCCTGGGTCCCTTTCTGCATTTCTGGGATTCAGGGGCTCTTTCGAGGAACGAGGCGAATGGTCTTCTGACTTGGAGATAGATTTTAGGGAACGTTCGGGAATGTTTAGGCACTTAACGCGCCTCTTAATGTACGAAACAGAACTTCCTAACTAGTCCCCAGAGTTTGTGGCTTTGACCAAGCCACCGGGTCTTTCCAGGCTCCCTTGATTGCATTTGCTTGTTATTCCTACACTAGGCCCCTTACCCCGGGCCAACTGACCGCTCCTGTGGAAAGGAGTGGATCCAACCATTTTCATAGATCAGAGCTCAGACTCAACAATTTTGCCTTGGTTCGACTACCTCAATTCCATTGTTCCCAAATCTTGAAAGTGTCAGGGACAGCTAAGAGAACTTTTAGCAAAACCCTCATTCAGATTATAAGACCTTGTAAGAAAAGTTCCATCCATCCTGTAAAGGAGGACTGCTGGGTTGGGTATCCATTCCTCTGCAGTAATAGTATGCTATTGGGGCAGAAATGAGCAATTAGCATCATTTGGTCACCACGAACATTCATTTGTACCAGAATCCGCAAGCTATGTCCACAAAGCACGTCAGGCCCCTGCCTTAGGAGACTGTCTGTAGACTCTGGACTTTACGGGTGAACAGTGATGTGAAATTAGGTTTGGGGGCTGGGAGAAAAGATACACTCGGGGAGCAATGCTAAACCTGGGTGCCCATGGAAGAGTAAGCTGATAGAAGAAGCTGACAGGCAGGTGTATCTCCAACTTATTTTCAGTATTACTATGCACGCACGTGATCTCCCCTGGAAAAACCCATCAAAAAGCTGAACATTAATTTTTTTTCCTTAAAAATACTGAACTCTAAGGAGATTCAGAGTGGCATTGATTTGGATGCCAGAAAATTTTCTTGTTTCCCTAGTATTGCTGATTCTACCAAGTCACCAATTTAAATTGAGGACACCCAGAAAAAAAGGTAAATGATTAGAGGCCTCACAGCATTTTGAGAGTAAACAACCCATTGGTCAGCTACCCCGTGGATAAAGAAGTATGAATACAAAACCAAGCGTCTTCATGTTTAGTTCTGATGGCTGATGTGGACAGAAAGATGAACACCAAAGCTTATCTGATGTGCATACTTTCTTCAGAAGGTAGAGGACTATGAATGTTCTGAGAAAAACACTACAGGTCTTCATCAGGAGGGGAGAATCGATAACCTTAAAACACAACAGTCAAAGCTAGTTTGAA